TGCCTGGGTGTAGCCTCCTCTGGGAGGCTCTCCCTCATCTCTCTCATCTCTCTCATCCCTCCCAGCTCTCTTGAATGCCCTCTTCTTGGGGTCCCACGGTGCCCTTTACTTGCTACCTTGTTGAAATTGTCTTCCCCACTAAACTTGAAACTCCTCAGCAACAGGGACCGGGTCTCTCTGGTTTCCTCCAGTTTCCCACCTCCCTCTCCCCGGGAAGAGCATCTGGCCCTCTGGAGAGGCTCAGGCAAAGGGCTCTAGACGGGAAAGAATCAGGCCGAGGGCCTCAATCAGAGTCTTTTCTGGGAATTAGGCTGGCTGAGAGCCTGATTTCCTCAGGGTACAGGCAATAATGAAAGTCAGAAATTTGATCATATGCAGAATCATCCTATGGGCTCCAGCTGCGCAGACTTGTTTTCTAGATCTTATAATAAGAAACAGTATAATGGTTAAAAGTGTGTATTTGGGGGTGCCTGGGTGGCTCAGTGGGTTAAATCCTCTGCCTTCAGCTCAGGTCATGATCCCAGGGTCCTGGGATCCAGCCCTGCATCGGGCTCTCTGCTCAGCAGGGAGCCTGCTTCCTCCCTTCTCTCTCTCTGCCTGCCTCTCTGCCTACTTGTGATCTCTGTCAAATAAATAAATAAAATCTTAAAAAAAAAAAGTGTATTTGGGAGTCAGACCCCTAGGTCTGAATTCAGACGGCTGTGTTCCTAGTTGCATGACCTTGGGCAAGTCCTAAAACCACTCTGCTCCTCAGTTTTCTCATCGGGACCTTGAAATAATTGTAGTATCTACCTCATTGCATTGCCATGAGGACTAAATGAATTACTGTGTGTACAATGATTAGAACTGAGTCTGGTGCTTAATGATCACTATATAGATATTAGCTAATATGATTTAAATTGCCCTTTTTTCATTTTGAAAAGATTTATTTATCCATTTTGGGGAGAGAGAGAGTGAGAGAGCACAGTGGGGGGGAGTTAGAGGGAGAGAGAGAGAATCCCAAGCAGACTCCCCGCTGAGCGAGGAGCCTGACACAGGGCTTGATCCCACGACCCTGATATCATAACTTGAGCCAAGATCAAGTTAGATACTTAACCGACCAAGCCACCCAGGTGCCCCTCTTTTTTCTTTTTATTTTTTTAAAGATTTTATTTATTTATTTGACAGAGAGAGAGAGACAATGACAGAGGGAACACAGGCAGGGGGAGTGAGAGAGGGAGAAGCAGGCTTCCTGCTGAGCAAGGAGCCTGATGTGGGGCTCAATCCCAGGACCCCAGGATTGTGACCTGAGCCAAAGGCAGACACTTAATGACAGAGCCACCCAGGCGCCCCTTCCCCCCCTTTTTTTAAAAAAGATTTTATTTATTTGACAGACATCACAAGCAGGCAGAGAGACAGGCAGAGAGAGAGGAAGGGAAGCAAGCTCCCCGCTGAGCAGAGAGCCCAATGAGGGGCTCCATCCCAGGACCCCGGGACCACGACCCAAGCCGAAGACAGAGGCTCAACCCACTGAGCCACCCCAGAGAGATCACAAGTAGGCACAGAGAGGGGGAAACAGCCTCCCTGCCAAGCAGAGAGCCCAATGCGGGACTCGATCCCAGCACCCTGTGATCATGACCTGAGCTGAAAGCAGAGCCTTAACCTACTGAGCCACTCAGGTGCCCCTCTGTCTTGGGTTTTAAGACAGCTTTTTATGCCACTTGAAACCCAGATATCCCAGCTAGGCCTGTGTGTCTAGGAATGTACCCTCCCTATCCTATCTCTGGGCACTGACTCTATTTAGAACTGCCAATGAGAATGCCAAAGGACTAATTCACAATGAGATACTGTTTCCCAGAACTTATTTCCTGGTAACCATAATGGCTATCAACGAATAAATGGCTCTTTGGTCAATGTCAAACAACTGAATTTTTTGCAAGACCTATCAGAGCTTTCAATATGCTAATATGTATTATCAATCTCTGAGGGAATGCAGAAATGCATGTTCAGTGTTCCCCAAAATTATTTGACCATGGAACCCTCATTCAAGGACTGTTAACCCAGAAATTAGTGTACAATGCAACACACTTTGGGAAATGGCAGCACTAAGCTTCCTATCTTGCTCCTCCTGAGTGTCTCTGATTTTTAAAGGGGCCGATGTGCTGGTGTTGGTTAGCAAACTACAGCACAGGGGCCAAATCTGGCCCTGTTTTTGCAAATACAATTTTATTGGAATACAGCCCTGTTCCATTTACTTAATGTTCTGTCCATAATTACTTTCACACAACAAAAGCAAAGTTGAGCCTTGTGAGAGAGAACGTATCACTCACAGAACCTAAAATATTTCCTATCTGGCCCTTTACAGAAGAAGTTTGCTGGCTCCTGCTGTAGTGTTTCTCATGTTTCTTACGTGCAATTTCTGGAGAATGCGGGATTATGCCAGGAGAGACATGAAGCCACAATATATACTAAATACAGCATAGCTTCCCGGAGAACCAGTTTAATCCAAAGATAAGTAATTTCAAGCATCATTCTTATCTAAAAAATGGACAGAGTATGGAATAGAATGCAAATTTTACATAAATTCCAAAAATAAAAAACTATAAATTTCTCAGGCCTCAAGCTAGCTAGCACTGCTTCCCTCCACGCCCACACCCTCCCTGACCCCAATCCTTTATACCTGACCAAAAGGCTTGTGTTCCTCCGTTCTAAGGGAAATTGGGGTGGAAACGCTTGAGAAATGCTGTTTTATTGGGAAAACAAAGTGGAAGTTTATGTGTCAGCCAATGATAAGCGAAGGAAATCAGAGGTGTTCACATTATCTACATAGGCAGGGAAGGCAGGCTGTGTCTAAGAGTTCTTTTACCGTATCTCACAGAATCAGTATACCAAAAAGACACCTGTAGGCTTTGGGGTCAGATAGACCTGGGCTTGGGTCCTGACTCTCCCATTTACTACCTTTATGTCCCTGGGTAAGGTACTTTACCTATCTGAGTCTTCATTTCCTCAGCACAAAATGGCGATTAAAATATGTGCTTTACAAGGTAGTTGTAAGGGGTCTAAGAAATCAGGTAGGGAAAGTGTTCTGCACAAGGTAAGAGTTTAGTAAGTGTTAACTACTGACATGTTAGCTGAAGTCCCTGAATATATAAAGAGCTCTGAAAAATCAAGAAAAAGTCAAAACCAACTGAAAAGTGAGCAAAGCACACGGGCATTTAACGGGAAAGGAAATACAAAGAGCTTTTAAACATACAAAAAATGCAACTTTGCTCATAAGAGAAATGAGAACACAACTCAAATGAGATACAATTTTTCACCGGCTAGATGGTAAAGGTTGAAAAATTTGGTAATATTCTACTGGTGAGTGGGGAAAGAAATATACTCATGCAATGTTAATGATACTGCAGATTGTTACCACCTCTGTGGAGGGCAATCAGTAATATCTTATCAAAATTACAAATGTTTTTATGTAAATGCTTGTACATAATTCCACTTTCAGGAACTTAAGCTATAGAAATAGTTGCGAACAAGGATGTTTTCTAGAGCATTGTGTGTTTGTAAATGTGCATTAATGTGGGACTAGTTAAATAAAATAAAAAATACATGCAGTGGTATACTATATAGTTATCATGAGTATAAGGCAGCTCTAGGTGTATTGATATGGAATGAGCTGGTGGCATGTTAAGTAAAATAAGAAAGGAGCAAAATGGCAGCGTGGTGTGCTACTATCGGTGTCGCTATATACCTATGCATAAAGAATATATGCATCTATGCTCTTGCATGCATAGGCTCTCTCTGAACTAGTTCATACAATAGCCCATGAGACCTGACATATTCTAACCTGCCCCTTGGCATCTTGTTATGACTGCTCTGACTCATCTCTCCCCCTTGTTCTGCTCCACCTGCTCTGGCCATCTCGCTTTTCTGGAACAGTCCAGGCACCTGCCTGCCTGAGGGCTTTGTATAATGTCAAGAAAGTTATCCTTGATGTCCACACAGGGCTCACTTCTCCCTTCTTCAAGCCTTTGCTCAAACTTTCCCTTCCCAGTGAGGCCAGCACTGACCACCCTAATTGAAACACATCCCTTAGCCTGTTTCCTTACCTTAATCTCCTTTTTCTTTTGTCTGCGGTATTTAACACCTTCTAGCATTCTATTATTCAGTGTGCTTAGGTACTATGTTTATGGCTTATGGCCTAAGTAATGTAGATATTCAGTTCCCTAGGGAAGGGAATTGAGGTATGGGAGGTTGAGATGGGAAGGAGACTTTGTTTTCAGTATATACCCTTGTGTTCTTTGCACCATGTGTTTGTGTTAACTGGTAAAAATATAATACAGCAAACTGAGGGTTTGGAAGGGGGGGATGGGTGAGCCTAGTGGTGGGTATTAAGGAGAGCACGTATTACATGTGCATAAACAATGAATCTTGGAACACTGAAAAAATAAAATAAAAATGTTAAAAAATGTAATACAAATGTTTAGCTCTACCAACCGGATCCTAGAAGTGGAAGTGACAACTTGGACCCAACCCCTTCATCTTATGATGGTCCAGGGGTGGAACAGTTAGGGAATTTGCCTGATGTTACAAAGCCAGGCTCCCAACTCCAGAGCCCTGGCTCTTAAGCATATCCTGTCCTAGAACCTCTTGATTTGGGACTCTAATCAGCCACTTTAAATGTAGTGTGACAAATGCTAAGCTAAGGAGTCCGAAAGGTGAAGGTTGGCCTCTGCCTGACATCTCCCGTTACGATGAATTCCAACAGATGGTCTCGGTTTTTGGGATGTGTGAGATTTTGGCTGCAGTGTGTGTGAAATAAATGGGCATACTGGGTTTCTGGGCTTGGGGAGTCTTTTATGAGCACTTTACAGTCCAAATAAAGTATTACTCTCGGTCCCTTGGTAGTTGGAAGCACAATGTTCCCGAATCCTGAACTGCCAAATAATTTGTCTTCTGAAGCAGTCAAGAGGTCTAGAGGATCTACCGGGTGTTCGGGGGTGAGCGAGGGGTGGCAGTGCCCTTGGCCTGTCACAGAGTAATGGGAGTATTTCCAGGAGTTGTTAGAGGCTGGCTGCTGAGCTTCTTGAACAGCCCTGGCTGGTAGGAGGCCTTCTGACCCTGGGTCAGGTGGCGGACCCGCTGCCGCTGCTGGAGCCAGTAGAGCATCTCCACCTTGTCGTGCTTCATCTTGTCCAGGTATCGCCGTCCCCTGAAGGTCACTGGCTCCCCAAAGACTGACTCAATCTCCTCCAGGAGGGAAGCCAAAGGAGCCTGTAGTACACTGATCTTCCTGTGTAGACGGCTGCGGAACTGACTTTCCTCCAGGAAGCGACTCAGGTCCATGGCAGTCTTTTGAAAGAAGCGGTTGGGGTCAGATGCTTGTCGCTCAAACCATTCTAGTCTCCCCAGCAACATCTCCCGCAGCTGAATGGGCTTCAGGGCTTGCTCCCAGGCACTCACCAATGAAGGCAGCTGCCTCAGACGGGCGTTGGAGCTGTACTTGATGGCCATGTCCAGCCGGTCCTTGTCGGGGACCTCCAGTATGGACCACAGGCGTTCCAGACGCTTCTGTAGGTTCAGGATTTTGTAGGGTTCTCTCAGGAGGCTGATCTTCTTATTTCCTAGCCTGTGCTCTAGCACTGTGCTCCAATTCCACTCTTCTGGCACAAAGTCTGGCTCTTCATCTTCCAGCAAGGGAGGTGGGTACTGAATCTTTAGGGGCTCTCTGACAGGGGCTTTGGTCTCCACAGGAACCTCCTCTTCATACATTTGGAAGATGACATGGAGGAAATCGGTCTCTTGGTTGGTGAGGTATTTGAAGTAGTCAGTACGTAGGCCTGGAGCCGTTTCCGCAGTCTCTGGTTGTTCAAGTGGCTCAGGGTAGGTTCAGTGGGAGGCTCCTGCCAGCTGCACTTTAGCTCGTCCAGGATGACCTCAGTGAAACGGAGTCGGCTTTCGGTAGGCACACGCACCGCCAGCCCGCTGCTGGCCAGTCGGTTGGTCACTTGGCTGCACAGCGACGCCACCGTCAGCCGGGAGACCGGCAAAGGCAACAGCATCGGAACCTCTGGCGGAAGGCGCTTCTGAGATTCTGGGCGTGTCGCCTTGCGGGGGAAGAGCGACAGCGGGCCCAGCAACCGGTGGTAAAACCGCTGAAGCTCGGGCTCTGGTTTGTAGGGCTCCATCTTTGCGCTGGCGCCGCGGGAGGTCTGGGCGGAAGAGGCCAGGAGGTTACTAAGGCAACCAGAGGCCGAGGGCCCGAGTGCGCCTGCGCAGCCAGTGCCTTCTGACGCGTGACGTAAGGGGGAGGGCCTGACGTGCGCGCGCTCCAGGAGGCGGGGCAAAGCGTGGCTTCCGAAGCTCCACCTCCCCGCGACGCAGTTAAGGTTTTGCACCTGATCGGCGGAGTAGTTTAGGTCTTACGGCGGGTGGCTAAGTCCGGGATGGCTTCGGACTCCGGGGACCGCGGGACCGCCTGCACGGTGAGCGTCGAGGCCTCGTGTGGGAGTCTCTCTGGGCAGAGAGCCTCGGCCCCTGGGGTGACTGTTAACGCAGGGAAAGGTTAACGCAGGCACTTGGGGCGGGGCCTGGGGCCTCCGCAGGAAACGGGTGCGAGATCAAGCAGGGCCCTTGGCGTTAACGTTGGGGGTTTGGTCTTGGACCGATAACGACTGGTAATGAGGGCCTGAGAAGGGGTCACGTGAGGGCGTTTCCCAGGGCTTTTGGGGTGGTCCTAGGGCAAATAGTGAAACAGTCACGCAAAGGGGTTCCCGAGTCTCCTCAACCGGTCCCTGCCGCCCTTGCAGTTGGAGTTCACAGTGCAGATGACCTGTCAGAGCTGCGTGGACGCGGTGCTCACGTCCCTGCAAGGGGTGGCAGGTAAGAGTCAGAACAACTTTTGCGGACAGTCCGGAGGCCTCTAGAAGGAGCCGGCAAATCTCTTAAACCAACAACACTATTCCCATTTACACATGTGGAAGAACACAGAGGTAGGAAGGAACGTCTTCAGAGTCGCACAGAGACCCGGAGTCAGAGCCTAGAGTACAGATCTCAAGCCTGCCAGGCCAGAGCCCTCTATAGGCTCTGGTGCGTCTTACATCTCAGGTGCCCAGGGAGTGAAGAGCTAGACTGGGCGTAAATGGGCCCACATCCAGAGGGTGTTTCCTGGTTAGGAAGCAGGTCTTGCTTGCGAAATGGCATAATCTTGACAAAGCCAACAGCAGCCCTGGCCGTGTTCCATCCTAGGCAGCCCCCAATTCTTATGAGCCAGCTAACTGGTCTGGAGGTGACCTTGCACGGTCAGAAACATCTGAGAAGGCAGAGCCACCAGCGTGGTCCTGGGAACCGCTTGCCTTTGATTCTGTTAAATGTTCATCCAGTCACTCAGCAGGTATGGACCGGACCCTGGGGGCTTTTTTAGGGAGAAGAGTTCACAAATGTTTCAGACACAGTCCCTGCCCTCAGGGAACGATGAGCATGCAAGCGTCGCACATGGAAGAGATGAGGTGAGATGGATTCTAAGCTGGGATAGTGGTGGCACTTGGCCGGTACAGGGCAGCGGTAGTGGATAAGGGTATGACTTCAAATCCCTTTCTTTGCATTCAGATCCCGGCTTTGCCTCTTAGCCGCACGTAGACGTCATGCATGTTACTACTTTTGCCTGTTTCTTCCGAGTTTAAATGGGCATGATAATGGAAGCTACCTTGGAGGATTGTCATGAAGAGTTAGTTGGTTAATACCTGTAAAGCACTTTATTTATTTTTTTAAAAAGATTTTATTTATTTATTTGACAGACAGAGATCACAGGTAGGCAGAGAGGCAGGCAGAGAGAGAGGAAGGGAAGCAGGCTCCCTGCTGAGCAGAGAGCCTGATTCGGGGCTCCATGACTTGAGCGGAAGGCAGAGGCTTAACCCACTGAGCCACCCAGGTGCCCCTGTAAAGCACTTTAAAAAATCTCTGACATGTAGTGAGAGCGCACTAAATCTTAGAAAATATGAGAGGAAGGGCTTACAGGTGGCAGTCTGATTGGGCAGAAGCATTTGGGGACAGACATTGAAGCAGAGCAAGAGAGAGAGAGAAATGTTTTTAAAAAGATACTCTTTATTTATTTGACAGAGACAGCACAAGCAGGGTTAGTGGGACGGGGGGAAGCAGGCTCCCCATTGAGCAGGGAACCCAATTCGGGACTCGATCTCAGGACTCTGAGATAATGACCTGAACCAAAGGCAGCCACTTTAACCGACTGAGCCACCCAGCTGTCCCGAGAGAGAGAAATTTGCCCTCTCCAGCAGGCTTGGGAGCTTTGGGGAAGAGGGTTTTGCTCTTCTTGGAATAAGTGGGAGGAGCTCCCAGCGCAAGGCCCACTTCCTTGAACCCTTATCACACGCCCTAGAGTTCCCTGTGGCCTCATGTTTTCTTTCTTAGTGGGCTTTGAGTGAAGCAAGGGCTGGTTTGGCCGAACTCTGGACCAGCTCTGCTGAATCTTGCTCAGCTTCGGAGCCAGCCTCCTTCTTGGTTCATGTGTGGTTCAAGAATTCTAGAAGTGCACTGTTACAGGGAGCAGCCCACTGGGGCCCTCCCACTCAAGGAGCAGAGAGTCAACTCTTAGGAGACCCAGGACAGGAACCCACCTGTGTGGAAGTCAGTCCGTCGGAAAGTCTTGTCTGCTCTGAATCTAAAATGTATTCGGAATTTAGTGGCCTCTCTTTTTCCATTCTTTGGCCTTCACACGAATCCAAGCCATCTTACTTCTCCCTGACCCACACGAGAACCTCATCTTCCGGGCTTCCTCTTGCCTCTGTTGTCCCCTCCAATAGCTTTTCTTTTTTCTTTTTTTTTTTTTTAATTTTTATTTATTTATTTGACAGAGAGACCACAAGTAGGCAGAGAGGCAGGCAGAGAGAGAAGGGAAGCGGGCTCCCCACTGAGCAGAGAGCCTGATGCGGGGCTCCCTCCCAGGACCCTGAGATCACGACCCGAGCCGAAGGCAGAGGCTTAACCCACTGAGCCACCCAGGTACCCCATCCAATAGCTTTTCCATACAGACGCTCAAGTGATTTTAAAATTACACCTTAGAGGGGCGCCTGGGTGGCTCAGTGGGTTAAGCCTCTGCCTTCAGCTCGGGTCATGATCTCAGAGTCCTGGGATCGGTCCCGCATCGGGCTCTCTGCTCAGCAGGGAGCCTGCTTCCCCCCCCCCCTCTGAAATAAATAAATAAAATCCTTAAAAAAAAAAAATTGAAATCCAGATTCTTTGCTGTTGGGCCTTGCTTGACTATCTCCACTTACAGCTCCCTGTCTTATATTCTCTTATTCCCAACTTTAGCCACACTGGCCTTCTTTTCTTCTTGGAACACATGTCACTGTTGTTCCTGCCCATGCTCTTCCCTCGCTTGGGAGGCTGTTACTGGACTACATTCAGGCCTTTGCTTAGGGTCTCAGAGAGTCGGTCCTTGACCAGCCTCAGTGGCTCGCTAACACCTAGTTCCCTAACACCTAGTTCACCGATCACTCCTTTCACTGTCTGCATCTCTCTTGTGTGTATATTTGACATTTGTATCCCTGCATTGGAACACATGCTATTTCCTGGGGGCACAGATGTCGCATGACTTGTTCCCCGCTCGCTTCTACTGGCTGGAACACGGCCCGTGATGGGTGCTTAGTGTCTGCTTGTTAAATGAGGTGAGCAAACAAAATTTCTTGCACTGTGCCCCCTACTGGGCTCTGGGAGCCTCCGAGGGAGCTGAACCCCACTTTCTGTGGGGCAGGGGGACCGAGCATCAGCTTTGGGGTTGGACAGGCTGCCTTCCGCACTTTGTTGGGTCACCCTCTAGCCTCGTTTCCTCACCTGCCAGATGAGGGCAGTATCCCCGTCCTGATGTGTGTAAGACAGAGCACAGCTCTTGGCATCCCTTGGAGGCTCAGAGCACTGGCGTTCCCCCATCACCCTCCCTGTACCCCCTTTGCGGCCGTGGACATCCAGAGGCATCTCTAGGTGGACCCAGAGCTCACAATGCTCCGCAGGCTGCCTGGTGGCACAGGGTAACATTTTGTGCGAAGTGAGGCCACTTCGGTAATTTGGAGGATTTTCTTCTCATAGAATCCCCCTGTACTTGCAGGGGTGGGGCTGCGAGCATTCATCTCGAGTCTCCCCAGTTCTGCCCCTCCCCCGACAGTGTCCCTGCCACCTTGCCCGTACCCTGCGGGTTGTTATTCCTGTCTCTGCCTGGTGGTTAATCCAGGCATAGCTTGGCTTTTCCCACAGCCTGTGAGGCCCCCTTGGGGACAAGGACCAGTGCGTTCCCTGACCCTGGCCTCCTCCACACCCAGCCCAGCACACATTTGGTGAGAGAATACGGAGGAGGGAACCCAAAGATGAAGGGAATGACAGTAGTCCGTGTAGCCTTCAGTTCACAGAGCGCCATCTCAACAGCGTGAATCTGCTGATTTAACCTTTGTCTTCTTGACTGCCCACGGCTCCCCTGGGCTTTATGTGCGGAGCAATAAACACATTTGCCAAGATCAGAGAGAGATGAGGTGAGAGCAGCATTATCGTCCCCAGTCCCTCCCCTGTGCACTGGCTAAGGGTTGGAGAGTTCTCTTAAAAGGCTTGGGATCCCTGAGTATCCGAATGAGAGAGAAGTGCCTTCTCTTCCTTCTCCCGGGTGGCTCGATGGCCCCCGAAGATGAGCAGGTGACCGAGTCATCCCGCTGTCTCTGCCTGCAGGGTGAGGTTGGGGATTTGGTGGGCAGTTGAAACACACTAACTTTTGAACCTGACCCTTGTGGACCACACAGAGCTCTCGCGCTTACAGAGGATTGGAGTCAGTGCAGCGTGAGTTCTTGGGGGGAAGACGGAGCTACAGGAGGACAGAGAACGGGGTCCTAACCCAGCCTGCAGGGTGAGGGCTGTTTCAGGGTGAGCAGTGTCGGGTGTGCTCCAGAGCTAGGCGGCCCGAGATGAATTCCACTTCCACAACTTACTACATTGAGCCTTTGAGCAAGGTTCTTAAATCTTTCTGTGCATTAATATTCTCATCTGTGATAAAGGGATAATAGGACCCACCTCGGGGCGCCTGGGTGGCTCAGTGGGTTAAACCTCTGCCTTTGGCTCAGGTCATGATCCCAGGTTCCTGGGATCGAGCCCCACATCGGGCTCTCTGCTCAGCCGGGAGCCTACTTACCCTTCTCTCTCTGCCTGCCTCTCTGCCTAGTTGTGATCTCTCTCTCTGTTAAATAAATAAATAAAATATTTTTAAAAAAAAATAGGACCCACCTCACAGGGTTACTTGACTCTCTAATGA